TTTGGATATTAGATATGCCCGTCTCGTCAACATTATAAATACGATTAGCATCAAAATGGTGTTTTCTTTGCAAAGCTTCTAAGTTATCCACTTCTAGAAGTGGACTCAGGTTTACGAAATATTAGGATGTTTGGGAAAAAAAACATTTGGGATGTTTTGTCAAAATTGTGCTTCAATTATATTCTTCGGCAAATTTGAAAGCTATTTTCCGCACCATTTTTATGTCTAAACCATAGCTTACTGCATTTTATGATATGTTCTTCTAATCCCCTGTCTTGGTTTTCTGAAAATATAGCCTTTCTTTCAGTTTTTGGTTGTTTTATAACTTCTTTCTTGAGATGGTCATGTGTAGTACTTTTTGGGACAGAATAAGTAGCAGCTGCTTCTCCTAGTGAAGGTGTTTTGTTATTGACATCCTGAATGGCTTTTTCTAAGTTTTCTAATTTGTGTTTGGTCTCCGTCCTTCTTTAGTAATTTCGTGGCATCTGAAATATATTTCAGTAAGTCGAGTGCTGGACCTAAATTATAAATTAAAAGATAGTAATTTGATTATTAATTCACAAAAAATACACCGGATTTCTATGTTATACCTAAAATATTATACACCTATTCAATTTTAATTCAAAATTATATGAAACTGTTGAAAAAATATGAAATTAACATACCTTGTACAGCGAGCGCGTAGTTACTCCACCACTCTTTGTTCTTCACTGCGTTCGGGATCTACTCATGATGTATCAAAGGGAATATCTTCCATTCTTTTATAACATAGCAAAATAATCGTGTCCGGGATTAACCCACGTCCGTGATTCCCCCACTCTCCTCTATTCTAGTATTTGTACACTATTTTTGTTTAAATTTTATTCGAATTGAATTTTCCCCGAAACACAAACATTGACTTTTAATTTTAACAAAAATACCGTTGCAACAAATTATCGACAGATCAAATTTATACGTATAAATGTTACAAAATACGTGAAAAAGTTCAAATTGCCCTTTTATTTTGCTTCAATTTATATTCGAACTTTAAATCGGGATAAAGTTCTAAGTGCATAAACTTTCGTATCAAAAAGATTCCCGTATACTGTTTTCAGAATAAACGCGCATATTTGCTATGAAAATCTTCAGTAGTTACTCAGCCTCCGGGTTATTTTTCTGCCTGAAAACTTGTGATATTGTATAGACAGGAAGCTACTTCGTTTTGGTTCGTTATATTCAGATGAAATTGAAACTTTAAATCAAAACCATATCGAACCAAATTGATACAAATTTTTCGTCATGATTTCATTTCGTTTTGAAATCGCTCGGCTTATTTTAACGTTAAAGCGCAGCATAAAACTTTGAACTAAAAATGTTTTATTGAAACCTCCATTTTCAACAATCTAATTCCAAAATTATTTTCTATATACCTATTTTCGGAAAGCTTTTAAAATATACATCGTTATTTCACTGTTGAACGATTATTTCGATATATATTTTTTATTTTATAACATATACATTTATTTCTGCCTCTACAATTTTATACACATACAATATAAAGGTTTTATGCACTCAGTCGTGATTTTCCTGGGATCGTAAGAGTGGTTTACGTCTCGATTTTGGCTCGGGATCCGAATACGTTCCCCATTCGGATTCTCGGCATTGCCACGCGTCCTACCGTGTTCGTACACGTAAATGTCGCATTATATTCTATCCGGCGACTTTAGGGCCACCATAAACAAGTCGCAGGCGATGTACTGCAACCCCGTAAGGGCCGTTACCTTATCTAAAGTGCGACCGCATGAATGCGACGTGGAAAGAACAATGCAACATTGATATTTGCTCGAAATCTCTCGTCACTCGAGATTTTCCAAGCGGGGGAAAACCGAAATACATAAGACAACGATGACTACGAGCGCGCAGAGAGTAAAGTGAAACAGGGCCCCCTTTTCGATGGCATCTCATCTGGTTTGAAGTCTCGCTTTGGAGGAGAATGGCGAGAATTGACAGCTAGACGCCCATAAACCGTTTTTACTGGTCACGTCGTAAACTTTGATCGTTAAATTGGAAGAGCTCGGGTTCCGTTGTGTGCTTCTCTTACCCCACATCGTTTAAACCAAGCGCACTTACGTGGGATTCGAATAGTTGGGAGCTTTATTAAAGCTCTTTCGTTTAATTGTAACTCATCACATCCATTTTAATGAAACCAAACAACAATCAAAAAAACTTTTCCTCATAGCACGAAAAATATTCTATAAGCATCAACAATTAAAATCCAGTTTTTATTCCCTTTTCGACGTTCACAATTATATCTTTTATAATTACCAATCGTTAAATGAATACCCGGGAATGCATTCATTACTTCTACATGCGCTAATTGAAAATGTGAATTCAGAGCATTCAATTACCAACTTGCGGAACTGTTTTTATTCCGGACATTGTTCCGCACTGCGTCGGTTACCAAATAATCACCGTATATCTTGCAATCGCGTCAATATATGGCTCTACAGTTTCTAATATATGAAGTTTTACGCTCTTCCCTTTATTATGTTTTAAGCGATCCTTCAATATACGGCTTTCGTTCGCGATATCTAATCTTCGTGCGAATCGTGTTCGTGCATGCATGCTCTCGAAATCCCGTTGCAATATGCACCTCCCGGTTTATTCAACTGGATTAGAAGTTTACGTCTTGAACGCACGTGCTCTCATTACACTCTAAGGTTTTGAAATTGAAACCCAGAAATTGTTGTTCCGTTAAGGTAATGTCTGGAAACGGGTTCTTCCACCAGTTGAGATATTATTTCCAATATCAGTTTCGATTTGTAAATTTAATTTTAATAAGCCCTAATAGTTGATATCTGAGTTCTGCATACACCTGTTGTTTCCAATCATGAATTGACAACGTATAATTAAAGCTTTAGTCAAAGATCTTGATTAAAATAACTTTTTAAACATCGTGCGACCCTAACACCGACTTCACAATCTTGGAAGAATCTGATGCGTGTCAGGTAGATGCGCCAGCTATCTTTAAAAACATGATGACACAACAGGTGCCTAAGAAAGTCCAGAAATGAACATCGTTACCTGTATTCTATTGCAAAGACATAATGTCTACATTGCTTTGGTACCTCTCAAATCATTTGGAAGGTATCAACAAGGCTACATATCCCACAATGAAGAAACAATTAAGACGTTTCTTGTATTCAAGTATACCCGAAGCCCAAGAAGCGTTTGCAAAGAGAAAAAGAAATCTGGCAAACTCCACACTTCTACTGATCGAACTTTGAAGAATACCTTACCCTGGAAGGAGACGCCAGTATCATGATGTAATTATTAAAGTCTTGGAATGGCAAACTAAAGAAAAATTATTAGTTACTCGAGTGCACTAAAGCTAATGCAGGAATGATATCATGCAGACTAATTAGTTATCCAAAAAAAGACAGCTGCAGTTTGAAATAGTGACAGAAACCGAGGAACGGTTGCAAATATGGAGAAAATATACAATTAGCCTCTTCAACGACGACAGACTAGAGTAGGAATTAATTCTGCCAGGACCAAGTATATTAAGAAGTGAAGTAATACATGCCATTACGTCGACGAAAAAACGAAATCTTGAAATGATTGTAAGATTATTCAACAACATGTACGCTCTACGTTTGTTGCACTAAAATAAATCGAATAATACAACCTCGTGTAAAGAATACCGTCTCATTAATGTAATGAGCCACTTCCTAAAACTTTTCATTCGAATTTTGCATACAAGGCTTCTGCATGATACCGGAAATTAAAAAGGGTATTCGCTAAGGGTGTATTCTGTCCCCGATGCTGTTTAACCTGTAGGTAGAAAGAAACATTCTCCGAGTCAATCTCGAATAGTTCCTTTGGAATTAAAGTAAATGGAAAGTATATGGCCAAAGTATCTGTAATATGTAAAAGAAAACGTTTAGAACTTAACGAATAAGCTAAATTAGCTAACGTTCTGAAACAAGCAGTATTACAAAGCATCTAAATTAGAAAAGAATAAATTAATTTCCGTCTTGTTACATGCGGCAATCTCGTTCAAAGACTTCTGAAGATTTAGTTTTTAAACAAATTTTCTTACAGCTCTTTTTTGGCGGCTGTTTCTCTTAATTCAAAGGGTGTCGAATATACTTTGTGTACCTAGTACCTGCTTTCCTTAGCTCACAATTAAGTAAGTCCTAAGAGGTTTAAAAAAAAGGTTTCATCCCCTGATGAAAAAGCAGTGTACTTACTTGTCTTCCAGTCTGTGCTTCTTTATTTATATATAACGTAAAGTAAATCTATAAAATGCTCACTTCAAAGTGCTTACTATTTTTATGCGTGATTCTTTTATATCTCGTGACAAACTAACATAATAATTCTTAACCATAACTGATATATTATACATATTTTGTATTATTTGAGTAATCTATAATGTAAATTTGCTTGTAAACAGTGCTTAATTAATTCAATTTCTCACCCCACAATTAATAATCAAGTACGCTTCAATTGATTAACACCATTAAATTATCGTACGAAGTTTAGTTCGATCTGTGGTGGGAAAATATATTATATTACATATCTTTATTATTTTATATTTTAATATAATTTTAAACCCAAGAATTTTCTTGCTGCGATTCTTTTTATATTGATTATTTTTTAGTAACACTTCCTAATATCATTTTATTTTAAACCTCTGTGTAAACAGAACCGGGAGGCAACTTTGTTTTTTACCTTTGGCTTTGGCAAAACGTTTACAGAAGCAACCTAAAAGCAAACGCGGAACAAAAAATCCGTTGTTCAGAGCTTAATTGAACTGAGCCTGGCTGAGGAGCGGCCGGAGGGTAAACAACCCTTATAGACGCGTTTGCCAACTTGGAAAAGTTCGAGTTGGCCCATTTATCATATTGGACAGTATGCCTGCCCATTTTCTCCCTTAATCCCTCTTGTCTTACTTATATAAGAGTGTACACGAAGAACTTCTTACGGTTTCATTTTACGCTTCATTTTCTTTTTTACAGATATGAAAATGGTTGTATCGGCAAGGTGTGGGATTTTAAATATTTTCTTGGTTCTCTTGATGATCGTATTAGGTAAGTTTGCAATTATAGTACCGTTTGAAGATTTATACTTTGATTCCAGTTTGAAATTCGATTGCTACGCGTGTAGCGTTCAATTAACGTAGCTGAGTTATCAAATGTAACCAATTGAACTAAACTGTACGAATTGGATGCTCAAACATACGGGGATCAAAGCACGTGCTGTATCAAACGTGAAAAGTGGTTTGATTACATCTGATTTCTGTTATACTCAAAAGTTTGAAAAGAGTAGAAATAGTTGAGTTTCAGTAATTACTTATTATTAATGATATGTAAAAGAATGCAATAAGAAAGAAACAAATTGAATCAGATTGAACGTTGACTTATGAACATAAAAATGAAGAGTAGATTTTATTTGTCAAGTACCAATTACGACGGCAATTCCCTTTGGTTACCACCAGTAGGAGTAGGCGAGTTCAGAGCTACGCTGTTGCGAGCTAGGAAGTTACCGTCCAATCTAAAATGCAAAATCGTCCCAAGTTTTGAATGTTAAAATATTCCGGTTAATAACTGCACCTAGCTAAGTAACGAAACGTCGGGAATTTAACGCATAATTGAGATAAAACGCGGTCGTCCGCACCTTTTACCAGATTACAATATTTTTTTAAGCCTGAAATGGATATTTCCACGCTGACATTTTTGACGATTATAGATTATCGAGCGCCATAAAACGCGTATTTAACCCGCAGATCGTGTACGGGTTTTTGTTTGATCACGCGGACTACGTCGGCCAACGAAATGGCATCGTGTGCAATACGCAGCTCAAAAACGCAAATAATCGCTTCAATCCATCAGCCGCAATTACCGCTCAGCCAAATGGCGGAATATTTTCGCTTTGAAATGCTCGCGTCGCGTGTAATGTCGTTTCACTTCCGCCTTGACCGGAAACGGCTGTCCACTTTGCCCTACTAAAGCGGAGATTGAAACTCAGAATAATAGCATTCACGAACTTAAATCTAAAACATTTTCTAAAGGATGATCTTGATAATATTAATAATACAAGACGTTTAGTTGAAAATAGCTTGCTCATATCTATTAAAACAAAGTAAATTTATTTTAGATTTTCATTAACGATCTGGCTAGTTGTGTCATCAGATATGGATGAAATACTGTTAATAGACTACGATAGACGGAAAAATTATGGTGTTTTTGAGTGATGTAAGGCGTTAACTAAAATTTACGCGATATACAACGAAAACTGGGACACACAGTTTGGGGTGTCAATATAAGAAACGCGAAATAAATAACGTCTTTCCGCGCCAGATTGTGCTCGATTCAGTAAGAATAAACGGCGAAAACGAAATAACAAATCATCGAACGTGGTTAAAACTAGTCGTTCGGTTTTCCCGAGGCCCCGAACTTCGTCATTACAGAGCTCTCGGATGCAACAAAATGGGTTCTCCCTGTGGGTGTGAGTGCGCGAATCGAGTTATGAACATTAACCGCGACTCCACCGGCAGCACAATCATTTTCTCAAGACCGTTGTACCCGAAGACAATGGAAACGGGTCCCCCGCGGGATGCCGAATAACTTCATTTCGCTTGCCCGTACGAGTATGTATGTGTGTCTGCGTTTAAACCTCCTGGCAATGGCTCCGAAACCATGCTCGGTTAGCGGGGTGTGAAATTGTGCCACGACAATTCGCGTTTCCATTTGGTACGCGAGGACTGAGGTTATTTATGGTTCTCGTAGACTGTCTGTCGTCGACAATGCGGCAGGACGCTCTTCTCTACGTAATCTGCATACGTGTAATGTTGGCTACTTGATGCGTTTACAATGAATTCGTAACGTTTAAAACAATTAACTATTTCGAATATTTCAATTATTAAGTAAAAACTATGATACAAAAAATATTCCACTGATACGGAATTAATTGACTCCTGACTTAATTATTGTCACAAGGAAGCGATTTTGATAGATTAATTATATAAATACACACAAGAAGAGGAGAGGTGCAAAAATTGACCCATAAATAACTTCGCATGACAGTCAATCAAGATTAGATATCCCCAGAATCTCTCATAACTACCGTAAGATGGGGTACGTTTTTTGAACAACAGAAACTTCTTCATAATACCAACCTAACCTTCAGGATTATATAGCTATCATAAAACGTTGAAAATACCTTATACAAACAACAAAAAATATATAAAAAACTGATGTCCGAATAGCCCCGTTGTTGAGGCTTCTTGGACACTAAACTTCGTTTTAGGGACAATCTCTTACTTTGCATGTCAGATGGTCAAATTCCCCTGAAAATGTAACTGAAGCATTAAGGAATGTATTTTTATGCAAAAGACACATTTTTTATTGAATTAAACAGGTTGTTTCTAGCGATAAAAGAATCGATGAAATCAGGACCTGGACTGTTGTTCTTGAAATCCTTGACCTGCTTTCCTTATTTATCTCGGTATTTTTTCACCACACTTCGAATGTCACTTTTGTCTACAGCCAAAGTTTCAGAAATCAACAGCCCCTCAGATTTACTTAAAACAGTCGGATGTCCAACGCGTCTTGAATTCCATCCAAGCATTTTCCGTACTAATGTTGTCCGAGGCACTTTGAACGTTTCTGCGGCCTTTTTCATTGATATCCCCTTCCAAACTGCATTCATAGCCTTTTCCAAGTTTTCCACTTCGTAATTCATGTAGGGTTTTGACCCTGGAGTTTTTTGGTACGTGTGCACCATTTTTAATCAGCGACTTCCTGTGATAACAAAGAAAAACACCAGAAACAAAAACATAACCTAACCTCGCTTTCGTGACACAGGACTGAACACGTATGCGTTGTGTCCATGTAGCCCCGGGGTGGCCAAGTAGCCCCGGGATGGCCAAGTAGCCCCATCTTACGGTACCTTTTGAAAGATGAGCTATACTAGGGATCAAACAATGGCAACCCAATCCAACCCATAAGTTGGGCTACGATGTTCCGCAGTCATCGTAGTAGGCTATTGGTGATTTTCTTCTATTGAGGGGTGGAGGTAAGTACATCATAAACCTGAGAATGTTTGGTTACATGCGATATCAGTAGCTCCTATGTAAAAGTCATTATCAAATTATTCAACTTAATAATAATAATAAATTTATTGCTTATTCAAAGTACAAAAACTAAAAAAAAACTACAATATCGAATTGCTAATAGCAAATACAGCTGTAACAATATAAATTTGAGGGAAGCAAAATGAGCTATTTCACAGAATCCGTGATCCGTGATCTTCCAATAGTCATCACAAACACATCTCAAGTTAGCTAACTAACTAATGATACTTAAACTTAAAAAAGAATAATAAAGAAGAAAAAGAGACAAAAAAATAAATAAATAACAAAACTAAAACTAAATTAATCATCGGTCTGATATAACACAATTTTGTAGCGACTTACAAGCGATCTCAACGAGAGGTACGATCCAAATCGCGTAATAATCTCATTCAGGATAATCGCGGCTAGGTAACTAAATGTACGTTTGAACAGTGCCGTTCTATGCGAGGGGATAGTTAGTAAGTTAGCATATTATCTAGTGTTAACACAAATCTACAATGCAGATACGGAGGGGAACCCGAGATCAAAATTTTATAAAGAAAACTAACCGAATGCAACCGCCGGCGGTTTTCCAAGTTTAACCAACCGCAGTCAGACAGCTTGTGGCTAATACGGTGAGGACGTCGAATCCCGTAAATCATTCTAAGACAAGAATTCTGCACTTTTTGTAATCTGTCTTTATCCCTTCTATACAAAAACTCACCATAGACCGTGTTCAAGTAGTTCAAGTTGCTAAGCACTAAGGATTCACACAGCATGACCTTACAAGACTTGGAGAAAACATGCCGCTGATGAAATATATATATATACTAATGCGGAACTAATTGATTCCTGACTTAATTATTGTCATGTATCACAAGTTTTGATAGATTAATTACGTTAATAAGCACAAGGAGTTTTGAAAGATAAGCTATACTAGAGATCAAACAATGGCAATGCAACCCAACCCATAAGTTGGGCTACGATGCCCCGCACACATGGCGGTAGGCTATTGGCGACAAAATCTTCTTCTATTGAAGCCTGGAAGCAAGTATACCATAAAGCTGAGAATGTTTGGTTACATGGGATATCAGTAGCTCGCTGTGTAAAAGTCATTATCAAAGTATTCTACTGATACGGAATTAATTGACTGCTGACTTAATTATTGTCATGTATTGTAATTATTGATCGTTAATACACACAAAGAGAGGAGAAGTTCAAAAAATACACCCCTAAGTAAATCCGCAAGACAGTCAATCAAGATTAGACACGCCCAGAATCTCCCATAACTACCTTTTGAAAGATGAGCAAGAGAGATCAAAGCTAGAGATCAAACAATGGCAACCCAACAAAAATATGGGCTGCGATGTCCCGCAGGCATCACAGTGGGCTATTGGTCAGAGGTTTTCTTCTGTTGATCAAACTATGACTATCTTCTATCTAGCATTAACAATGCCTGCAATAAACAAGAGACTGTACGGCAGATCATAAATAAAGAACTAAAAGGGAAGATGTTAAACAATATTGATAACCTTTCCAGCCTGGATGCTCAGAACTTCAATATATTTCTCCAAGGTTGCGGTAAATACAGTAAAATCAATCCCTGGACCACATTGAAATCCCAGTATGCTTGTCTCCAAAATATTGAACAGAAATCAACAATCCTTTTTTCTAAAGCCTACTATAGAACAAGTGATCCTACAGACGGTTCTTTCTTTACCAAACAAGGAAACCACTGATATTTACAACGTCTCTCCCTACCTTATTAAGAAGATTATCGAGGTATTGGCCACACCCATTACTAATATAGATTGCTGCTTTACAAACGGCATATTATTATAGCTGATGAACTTACAGTGGTTAAAGTGGTTCCAGTTTTTTTTAAATCTGATGATGCAGATAATTATAAGAACTATAAACTTTCGAATCTTTATTAAAATGTAGATTGATTGAATATAAGGACAACAACAAGTTGTTTAATGAAGCCCAGCATGATTCCGCAGTCAAAAGTCTACTACCTCGGCTCGGACAAGCTTGATCGATGTTGTAGCACGAGCGTTCGACGAGAAAAAAGAGGTTCAATTATTATACTGTGACTTATCAAAGGCATTCGATGTCCAACATGAGACACTATTAAGAAACTGGAACATTACGGTATAAGAGGGCTACCAAATCACATGATCCAAAGTTATCTAAGCAATAGAATGCAGTGTCCACAAGGATCAATTCTGAGTACAGTGCTTTCAATTAATTATATAAATGACCTTCCTGTAAACATCTCTACTGAAGGCATATTTCATGCTAACATCGAAAAATAAATGTGAGTTTGAAAAGAACACTGAAATTATTACAGCTGAAGCTGAGGAATGGTTTGGGACTAATAGCCTGAAGCTAAATGTTGACAAGACGCAGAAACTTCTACTAACAACAAAACCTGAAGTACGGGAGCAAGAACCAATAAAATTTTTGGGGATTTTTGTAATGCCAAATCTGAAGTGGAACTCTCATGTTCAGTATCTTTAAAGATGTTTAGCTGTTACGATTTTTACTATCAAGCTCATTAGATCAAATAGGTGGATATGAGACAGGTAAGGCAACGTAGTTTGCGAACATTCATAGTAGGGCACCATATGATATCTTTATTTGAGGGAACTCATCGGCGGCGAAAAATATTTTCCTGCGACAAAAGAAAGCAGTAAGGTCTTAAACGGGTAAAAAAACAAATACCACAACCTCCAAGCCACTTTTTCTACAACATAAGATACTTTATCCTCAATCACGAAGTAGTTCGTTTACTTTGCCTCAATTTATTTCAGGAATGCTATCTTATTGTTAGTTTATTACATTTAATTTATTTTAGAATATTTTAATCAATTAATTGAGAAATTTCATATAATCGAATGAAATAAAACTTTAACACGCATAGTTTAAATTTAACGATCCTTAACAAAGAAATATTTTTGAAAGTTCAAGAATGCCATGTCTCCTTATGAAAGTCTCCCGCAGATGACTTCAAAGGGAAGCAGAATTGTATTTGCGGTGAGCTGGGGTATTATGTTCCGCCACAATGGTCTCGTCAACCAAATGGGAGATTTAACAACTGATTCGGAATAATCAAGATAAAATTATCAAACTTAGGAACAAGAAAATGTACGATACAATTACTTAAAACAATTAAAAATAAATAATGGAGTCGATGAGATTAATGTGCCCTATTTAAGATTCGAGCGAAACTATCCATCATGAGACGTCACTGTCCTAACTACATCTCGTAATTTATCCATTTCAATTTGAAAAATGAGAAATAAATATTAATGGAGTAAACAAATGAAGGATAATAACCAAGAAAAGGTTACTTTAACTATTCACAACCGCTGAATTGCTGTACGAGTTATGTTGGCAACAAAAGTACCCTTTGCATTTCAACTTTAACGACATCCTTATTAAATTTTAACATTTTAATTTCATATTAAAAATTCGATAAAATAACGTGGAAGTATATTGGCAATTAGCTTGTTTCTGCTCATTGGAGTGGAATCAAAGAGGTATTTACGTGTACTCTTAGGGGATGGGAATGAAGTTGAATAAAGTTACACAAAACATACTTTATTTAACCGAAACCTTAAATGCTGTAGAATCTGAAACCTCTTTGAACAAGTTGTCGACCAATCCAACGACAATCTTCGATACTAATTGACGCTTTACGCTTTTCGATTCCTCCAAGTTGTTGGTCTATTTGTGATCTGTCGATTAGGTCTTGGTGTTAATTCCGCAACATTAAGGATTTTCTTTGAGGATTTTCCACGTAACATTGTTACCTAAATTCGGAATAAAAGAAGTTTCGTCAAAATTTAACATTTGTTGGATCAATATGTAAAAATCGTTCGCATTGTTATATAAAGTGCTTTCCACTTTTTTGAAAGTATTATTTTCGTATTGAAATAATGGATATTGTGGATGCTATCTCGTTGAGTTTGGTCTGGATAGAAATCTTTTGATCTTGAATGTAGGTCGCTGTTGCAGAGTTATCGTTCGTCGTCAATATCCGAATCGCTGCTTCGCCAACGGATGCGTATCTCAAATTAACGGAGTGGATCGATGGTCACGTTTCTATGCCCCCGTCTTGTAACTACAAGTCGTGTTAGAGTATGGAAGCTCTCCGTAGCTTGTACCTAGACGGGGTTTGGAGGGGGGTTGAACAAGATGTTAACAACGGAAGAAAGAGCTAAGTTGTTCGGGTGTGCCACTTTCATAATGATACTTTAATACATTCGCTTTTTAGCTGGTTTCGGTTCAGCGCGACACGGTCTACTTCCAGAGCTGTGATAAATCAATTTTTTCCTGCCGGTTGGAGTTTTAGATACGGTCCTGGTAAGGTAACGAATAGCCCAGACCAGGGGAAAATATGAATTTATCTACGAAAATAAAATTCCCCGCTGGGTACATACGGTTTGTGCCCCCTTCTCTGTACGATCTCTTTACGTGAAACCGAACCTACGTCAAAGAACCAAGAGTTACGAGCAGCAGTTTCGAATAAAATAAACATGGAGACAGTACCCGCGGCAACGCTAAGCTTCCCCTGTCTTTTTTTATATACATCGCCCAGTTGTAAAGCTGGAATAAAATATTGACTGGGTCGTCAATTTTCGCCGGACGAAACGCCTTAGACGTGCTATTGGGGCGTTATCGTAAAAATCCAGTTAGTAACAGACGGTGAAATATTATGCGAAGTGGGGCTTTACGCCTCCAGCCCATTTAATCCCACCCTGTATTAGCGGTCGCTTACACTACTAATTCATACTAGCTTCACATCCCCTTTTCATCTACTTTCGTTTTACGACCTTCCGTTTCCTGTAACCCATCTAAAATTTACTCCTTTAAAAAAAACATTTTTGATCACATTCTCTCATACAATAAAAGACAACCTTGATAATTGATAATACATCATTAATAAATAAAAGATATTCATAGTGATATCAATTTGTTTAGAAAATTAAAAAAGAACGTCATCTAATTGGTGATGGCAGAAGAGAAAAAACGCTACATAAACCGTTTTGAATTAAGCAAGCAGCAAAAAAAGGACATGAAGGATGCTTTCGATATCTTCGACGTTGCAGGAATCGGAATGATTGACTGCAAGGAGTTGAAAGTGGCCATAAGAGCTTTAGGATTTGAACCCAATAAAACAGAGATCAGAAAGATGATAGCCGATGTGGACAAAGAAGAGAGCGGGCAGCTTTCGTATGAAAATTTTGTGGAATTGTTAGCAATGAAAATGTCAGAACAGGACTCGGAAGAGGACATTTTAAAAGCGTTCAGACTATTTGACGAAGAGGAAAAAGGAAAGATAAATTTTGAAAATATTAGACGAGTAGCTAACGCTGTCGGAGAAGATGTAACCGATGAACAAATCATGCAGATGATTGAGGAAGCCGATGAAGATGATGATAATGTAGTTTCTTTGAAGGAATTCAAGAAATTTATGAAACATTCCACTTTATTTCTTTAATTTTTTTTTGTATTAATTTTTATTTCTAATAAATTTTTTAGAATGTTATAAATTACCCAAAATAGATAATTGTGTCTTCCGTGAAGGTAATAAACGATATATTTCGAGGTACCCTGGTAACTAGTACCTGATAAACGGTTATTGACGTTACGGAATATCCAGAGATAGGTGGTTATATACGGCACAGAGACATAATGACACCCTTATCAGATTTTAATATCTCCGGCACCTTCTCGTAGCTCGTAATATAGCGCAGTTTGTACTGCAGTAATATGGGATGCGATTTTAATACAGAATGATGGATATTAAATTTCCTTTTATTAAAAGCCGATTTTCGCACTTTATCGTAATTAAGATTTTCTTTTTCGCTTTAACTCCCATAAAATATCTTGGCCGGTGCAATGACCCGTTGAAGAATTTGAAATAAACTTAAAATGCATCTGCAGAACCAAACGTCGCGTCGCTGAAACTCGTACTGGAAGTGATCGAAATGACATTTTCTGTCAGTATGTTTTATTCGGTGACAAGTGGGTGAAATTTTATTCCATCTATTATGGCGGAAATATACTATAATGTAATAATAAATTCAACTTTATATTGGAAATTTAACGTTTAGAATGCAAGCTGATATTTAATTTATTAATAGCATTGTTCATCGAAATTTTGAACATAATTGTGAAATATGGTTTATAGCTAAAGTTTGTATAACAATTTTATGTTCAAATTTTGCTCTGATTAATTTAATGAATTAATTTATTATATCATAATAACTATAATTATTGACGAATTAATATCTACTATCTATCCACTCAATAAGGCTTTTACCCTTCTTTTTTCACCTACTTTAGAAGCCGACATCTTCGTTGGTTTTAAAGATAGCGGAATATTAAGTACACCACTTGAAAGTCCGATCTTTTTTTCATCAAAAAAGCGGGCCCTGTCAATATTATGATATCAACAGCGGAAAAATAAAGAACAACGCTGTGTACCGAATACATCTCAAAATTATCAAATTAGAAGCCTGTGTGCTGCTGTTATGGAACCGAATTAAAAAAAAAGCTTTATCAATTTGAAAACAACACACTTTGAGCTATCTAAATCCGGGTTTTAACGAAACGCATAATTTAACCATGCCTAATAATCAACCCTACGCATAGAATCCCTACATTGACTGTTTGCAATACAACTCTTTTATTTAGTAGAAACAAAAAACTAAAGCAGAATCAATCATATAGCAAATATTCTGCTTTTTTATCGGTACATAACAAAAATCGACTACAAAATTTTAAAACCATTCCTTTTTGTAAAAACAACCTGATCGGCGCGTTTTTGGAGATAATTTAAATCACCTTCGCGATAATAACTTTCTTATATCATACGAACAAAACTTCGTAACCATATTGAATTTAAAGGAAATTTTCTGCTCTATACAGTGGCATATAACTTTAGTAGATTGTAGGGTTGTACAAGCATTTCTCCCCCAAAAACTGCAAATACCGCATATTATTATCATATGTAAATGTTTTCGCCGTCTTAACTTACGTATATGATACGGACAAAACTTCGAGGCCATATAAAATCTATAAGAAATCTTTCGCTCTATACAGTGGTATATAATTTTACTAGATCGCATGGTTGCACAAAAATTCCCCCCCCCCCAAAAAAAAAAAACTGTAAAAACCGCATATAATTACTGTATGTAAATATTTACGGCGTCATAGCTTCCTTATATGATACGGACAAAACTCCATAACCATATTGAATCTATAGGAAATTTTCCGCTTTATATAATGGTATATAATTTTAGTATATCACATGGTTGCACAAGCATTTTCTCCCCAAAAACTGCAAAAGCCACATAATTACCATAATATGTACCATAACTTTAGTAGATTGTAGGGTTGTACAAGCATTTCTCCCCCAAAAACTGCAAATACCGCATATTATTGTATGTAAATGTTTTCGGCGTCTTAACTTACTTATATGATACGGACAAAACTTCGAGGCCATATAAAATCTATAAGAAAATTTTTCGATGTATACAGTGGTATATAACTTTAGTAGATCGCTTGGTTGCATAAGAATTTTCTCCCCAAAAACTGCAAAAACCACATATAATTACCATATGTAAATGTTTACGGCGTCATAACTTTCTTATATGATACGGATAAAACTTCAAGACCATATAGAGACCCTAGGAAATTTTCCTTCTATACAGTGCTATATAATTTTAGTAGATCGCATGATTGCACAAGAGTAAAAAAGATGAATATACCGATTCTAAGTTTAGCATTGTTTATTAGGCGTGTTTTTTTGGCTAATGCCGATAGATATTGATCGGTTTTTGATAAAGAAGTTTTTATTCCGCTATTTCTATAGACAACGAAAATATCGGCTTGTAAAGTAGGTAGAAAAACAAGGGTAAATGTTTGTTGCTGAGTAGTTTGTTGCTGTCGTCGCACGGTGAAGAATAGAGAATACTGCCATAAAAAGTACAATGTCAGAATTGTCTTCGGAGCCAATCACTGCTACAAGATGATGACTTGATTAAGAATCCTATACTATACCAGACGAAGCAAATAATTATTAATAACTGATCTAATTTATTGTGCAAGTTTAAAATTTATTTCTATAACGTTATCGCAAGTTTAAGTAGATGTAAAGTGATTTTTTTGTTTTCGTGACTTTGCATTAAAACCGTAGTTTTATCGGGTGGTGTGAATCAAAGTTAAAACTTTCAGTATAATATCACATACAGCACTGCTGGTGATATAATTGATTACCACCGATATTTTCAGTTTTATTTCAAGCGAATTTTTGTTTTACGCTTTGTAATTATTCGTGTTTAAAAATTAATTTTAAATCGAGGTAAATCAAGCGACGTGGTTTTACCCCTTACACAACGAAAAATTCAATTCGGTCTCTTTCGACGATATCCGGAGGGCGCGTTTCGAAGCACAAAAACCGCAATGTCCGCAAATCGTAAATTATCCCAGAAAAATAAAGGGGCAAAAACATGGCCCACTTCTTGTGAAAGTTCGTATTTTAGAAAGTTGAGCGCGAAGGGCCTGCCTCTGACGGTAAACAGAGATTTGTTGGGTCAGGTGCTGCGGTCCTGACACTATTAACATATTCCCTAGATCCTTTTTTATCAACTCCATCTACGTTACACTTTATCATAAATCCCTTCAAACGCAAATTTAATTTATTAAAAAAAAAAAAAAATGAACACTTGTGTGGTGTTCTAATCAAGGGAGGAAGCTGCTTCTCGACTCTTCAGATTTGGGGTCGAGGGCGTGTCGGAGGTCCATGCGGACGTGACAGGGCCTTTCGTGATTTCTATCTCAAATTGGCCCCATTGTGCGACTGGCGACGTGGCAAGAAGCAAAAAGACCAACGTCGCCGGCTTTAAAACAAAAAGCATGGACCCCACAGCCTGTTGGTTGTCGACAACGTGTTCGTCCGTATTGCGAGAGGGGCGCGACAGCGACGTAATTTCGCGGAAAAATAAATTTATTTTGTAAATCGTTGGAACGTGTTGCAGCCGCGCCGGAAGCCGTTATGAGTGGTGCTAGTGAGCACCGGAAATTAATTCTTCAGTTACCACGAGCTGTGAAATCGTATATATTTTAGATTTTATTGTGGCAACATTATTAAAATCGATCTCATTTAACAATTTGATTTAATTATAAATACAAAGCAGTTTTTTAGATACCGTTTTATAAATGAAATTAAACAGTAGGTTGTTTACTTGAATATTGTAACAAAGATGATTTCTGTGCCTCCCCTGCGTTGAATACATATTCGCTTTTATACAGTTTTAATGAGAATACTAAGACGACCCGTTTCTTTCCTTTTAAATTCTTGAAGAGCATCGTTAAATATTAAACCGGAGCCCATGACGACGGAAATGAATCTGGGAAAAACCATACTCTCGGTAATATATTCTGAAAAACAACAAAAAGCACTAGTTTTTAGAAATGTTTGTTTTGCAATCAGTTCAATCAAATTGACGCATTGTACAATGTTGAAGCGAAAAATATGTACGCATTAAAAAGCTTAAAGCTGTTAGAGCGGGGCTTTTATTGGGAATGCTTTCATCAGATTTCGATAAAAACTGGCCTTAATTCAAACAAATGCCCAGCGCTTCTCGTTTTTGTCGTTCTGTAATAAAATTCCGTCGTAATGGAGCTCTTAATTTTCTTTGAACGCTTCGCTGGGTCGTCCTTTTTACAATTTTTAGAGATTGGCGTTAGTTTTTTATATTCTTACATTTCGTTCCATTGTTTCCGACTTATCCCAATTTACTGTTCGAGACAAAGGTTAACAGTCTTAGTTTAAATGGAACGCCTTTCGCGTTTATCTATCCGCGAAGCTTAGCTTTATCATCGTTAGGAGCACCGGACGTGATCGGTGTCCGGGAAATGCCCGGATTTGTCCCGAGGCGATCGGTCCTGCATAATACATGCGCCCCCACTGTCAGGACAGGTGTGCCCTTGCCCTAAGTACAGTACCGTACTACCGATCACGAAAAATATTCCACTGAATCTCCATAATATCGGAATTCGTCACAACCACGTCATCAGCATGTTTTCTATCCTAATATAATTCTTACATGAAAGAAATCATTTTAGGTTCTTTAAATAGCGGAAGTCAGTTGAAGGAGTTAATTAAATTCCAATGGCATTCTAATTTAATTAGTGTTTCCCTTATTTTTGATTTATAAAATTAATATTCAACCTGGTGAAGATAACAACGTTGCAAAACGCGAACGTTATGGAAGTTAAAGCAGCCGATACACATCGCCAACCTCAGACTAGAGATAGGCGTTTGGGAGATATACGGTGCATGTGGATGCAGAAGTTTGCTCACCGCTCACAAGAAACATGGTGCGAGAGATAGCGATATTACAGCGACAGGCAATACTGCATCTCATATCCCACAACGTACAACGAGGGTAAATCTACCGCACCTCGTATCAGCTCAACCACGTCTTTATAAATCCTTCAAGACATCCATTCTTTAAAATAAGAAAAAATCGATGATATATATCTAAAAGTTT